GTCGGAGGAGGAAGAGGACGAGGAAGAGGATCGAAGAATCTCGCTGGTTTTCTAGGGTTTAGGGTTTAAGGTTTAGGGTTTCTTAGCTTGAGGGTTTGAGGTTTAGAAGGTGTAACTTCGGGTTTTCCAGTTTTTGGGGTTGAGGGTTTATGGTTGAGGATGTTTTTGTTGTTGGTGGGGGCGTATTGAGGCCCCTTTATTACCCCAAGTCTTATGCTATAGCCCGCAAGGATTACGCGCCTTGGGACCACCTGTTGATGTAATATCGGGGTCGGAATCCTGACCAGTTTTTGGGGGCTTTAGGATATACGGTTTAGGGTTCAGGCAATAGTGTCCCCTTATAGTCCTAGCAGTGGAGTAGGGAACCTTTAACCTTTTTGGGGTATATAATCCCCATATACCCAAAAAGGTTAACCTTTGGTTTCCCATGATACCCGACATGTAGGCAGTCCTGATCATGGAATAAGTATGCTGTAGAATTCTACGTTTTCAGGCCCGTGAGGGTTGCCGTAATGGGCTCAGTGCTGGTAGGGTTTGAGGGTATACCTGGACCCCCCAACCTCCCTCTAATCGACCCGAAATGCCACTATGAAGGACCATAAGGGCTCTGCGAAAAGGCACTTGGGGGGGGGGGGTGGTCATGGTAGGGTGGAAGGTTTGGGGTGTTGGGCCTTCCTGGCTTCGGGTTCAGGGGTATAGGGTCTTATACAAGTATTGATTTGGGCTTGTTTTGAATTTCCAGCATTGTTGAATGTAGAGCCCTTAGTTGTGACTAGTTGTGGGGACTGTTGAAATCGGCACCTAGTGCAGGGTTCCGGGGCTGTGGTATAGAGTTGAAGTCGTTTTGGCAGGACGAAGAAGAGGAGGAGGAGGAGGAGGAGGAGGAGTTGGACCAAGAGCACTTTCGGCGGAAAGGTTTAGAGTGCCCGTGTGTTTGGTGGTTTCAAATCTTTCAGTGCTTAAAGGTCTTTGAGGGCTTGTGGGGTTCATGGTGTTTCGGGTGCTAAGGGCTTGTCAGTTTTGGATTTGCAGGTGAACCAGCTCGCTATTCAAGGGCAGCTTTAACACGACCAGCGAGTAGGATGGCATGTTCGGGTTTGAAGGGTAGACATCGGCAGAGGTTTTAGGGTTTAGGGTTTAGGGTTTCGGGTGCTGGGATATGGGAAGCCGGTCCACATTGTGCACAACTGCTCAACCGTGATGTCCTTGCTACAGGATGCTCAGGTGCCGTGAACATAGATCCTGAATGCCAAGCCGAAGAGCCTTGACCAAAATAGTATCTCGCAATCCAAACCATCCCTAAATCCGCTAGAACCGTGTATACAACCACCGGACCACCCTTCAGCAAGCACCGTAAAAAGCGGAGCACTTTACAAGTTACAAGCTTTTGATATTGCTCCAAATACAACTTTTCAATTGGGGGCTCTTATGTGAGGTAATCTTATCCTGAAGGTTGAACTTTTTACCTGAATCCTGAAATAGTTAGTTGCTGAACTTCTTACCCCATGGTTATTTGGGAAGGTAAATCTGTTTGTGAACCTAGACCTCTCCCAAGAGCCACTATTAAGGACCATAAGGGCTCCATCAAAGGGACATTGGGGGATCCTGGAAGACTAGTCCTTCGATGAAGCCGAGGCACAACAGCCTCCATCGCAGGACAACTTTTTCGGGGTTTAGGGTTATGTTGGGTTGTAGAGGGTTATACAGGGTTACATAGGGGTTCTTTCTGGTTCTATGTATAGTGTTATATAGAGGTATACACGGGGGAAAGGTTCGGGGTCTAGGGTGTTGGGTTAGGGCTCTATCAGGGTTCCTTCAAAGGATCTATGAGGGTTCCTTTAAAGGGATTTAAAGGGGTTCAGGGTATAGGGTTTAGGGTTTAGTTTCAGGGCTTTAGTGGTTTAGTGTATAGGGTTTCAGGTTTTAGGGTGCCGGGGTTGAGGGTTAAGGCTTTAGGGTTCCGGCTTTGGATTTCGCGTTTCGAAGGTGGGGTTTGCTTTTTTTGAGAGCTTGTGGAATGGGTTTCGGGACCAGACCATAAGGCTTAGCCTAAGGGCCCTCAGTATCTCTATGGAGGATACTTGGCCAAACCACCCTACTATAGAAACCCTACATGCGACTACGTTGGTTCTTAGGACCCTTTGGCTTAGGGATTCTGGTTTTTTTGCTCACGCGAACCCGGAGCCTGGACTAAGCGTCTTAAACTTTATGAACCTCAATGACCGCGAAGTCTGAACCCTAACCCTAAGACTCCAAATATACAAATAGTACCTACTTTGGGGTCTAAAGTCTATAAATGCTACCTACTTTGGGCTATTTGGAGTCTTAGGGTAAATGTGCTATACAGAATAGGGCAGGGTGCATTCGTATTGTTGGCAGCAATTAGCTCACGTCCAGTATCTGCATTTCTACAAGTGCTTAATGTTTGTGAGCTTCAACGACAAGCAAGGTTCTTCCTGTCCCTAAACCCTAAAACCTACACCCTGGCCCTAAACCCTACAACCGAAACCCTTAGCCTAAACCCCATTCATACCCTATAAGCTCTTTCAGCCCTAAGCCCAAACGCAGAACCTTTGGCTGGGATGCCCACGGCTTCACCGGCGCTGCGGCAGCGCGCCGCGCCGCAGCGATTTTCGAGAAGGCAGGGTCCGAAGGGTGCGTAGTCGGTATAGTTTCCCCAAACAAAGGCCCCATGTACCCATATAGTAGGTACTTCGGCCTTAAAGTAGCCATATAGGGACCCCTTTAAGGCCTAAGTACCTACTATATGGTTACATGGAGCCTCAGGGTTCAATCTATATAAGGGCGTTAATGTAGGTACCTGATTAAGAAACCATGGGTCTGTACATATGGATCTTAATTGATATTTTGGGGTTACAGAACCAGGCTGTCTTAATCAGGTGCCCACATCATCAGGCATACAGTAGTTTACAAGTACTACATTGGTTCTACCAGTGTTTTTGGGTGCTATAAGAGTTCTGCAAAGGTTCAAATGATTCGACAGGATTCCATACGGTTGATGATATGAATCCTGCATTACCCATAATAAGGAGTATACAATAGATCCCAAAGTTTCGGGTCCTTACGTTAATGCAGGATGTATATCATCAACAGTACGTGCTCTTCAGAAGTGTTGCAGGGCGTCGTCATGCGTTTCGAGAACTAGAAAGGGGTCAGGGCCAGGTTGTTGCTGTTTTGCTGTTTTCTCTGCGAGTCGCCATCATAGAGGTCGTAAAACCGCCAACACTATTCCGTAGGGTTCTTCAATATATTCGTTATATTAGATGTGTATATATATATATATAACAACCCAAAACCCTAAGCCCTACATGATCAATTCCTCATCCCGCCCTTCCCTGCTGTCTGCACCCTAACATAACCCTCGCGCCACACACATGAGCCACTATAAGCATTATGACTGTACCGTATTATTATGAGGCTTAAAATGGTACATAGTGACGACATAGTGTTCTGAGAAGCAATAGGGATCGCATGAAAGGCCCTGTTAGGGTCCTTTTTCAGGCAGCCATAGAGCTTGCGTTATCAGCTCACATCAAAGAGCCTCGAACCAGGCCAGGAACCCCTTCAAGCGGAGACTAGAATCAATGGTAAGTAGGAATCCGTTTGAATTAGTACCCTCCCCGTATAGTCTCGTTTTCAACATATTCCCACTTTTTCAGGCCACACTTGAAACCCTTATTATGAAGACCTTACAGAACTGCTTGAAGGAGCTCTTTAACTAAACAGAACCTTATTCTGATCATTACTTGAAGGTTCATGGGTAGTTATATGTGGGGTTATTAGTCAGGTAACTAATTCTACTTATAACCCATATTTGGGAACATATATGCCAACTTATTCTAGTTTCACATGAACCTCCAAGTAAACCCTAAACCCTAAACCGTGGCTCCTGTGCTGCTCTAACCCTCTCCACTTGCAGCTTCCGGACTCCGCTGGCAGCCCCGCGCGACTGCAAAAACTCGCCGAGGACGCCGGCTGCAAGGGTGGCCCCAAGGGTCCAAAGGACCCAATTCAGGGAACTCCAGAAAGTTGGAATATGGATTAATGGTAGGATCCCCTACAATTTACCTTAAAGAGGTTACGATAATGATATTCCAACTTTCTGGCTTCTACGGTAGTTCGGTATTCGGGTCTAGGATAGTAGGTATGTAGGTTAGGAGTTTGGAGAGTATATGATTATCGTGTACTTGGACCCTTGGGGTGGGGCTACCCCGAAGACTCCAAACAGACCAAAGTAGGTACCATTTATAGACTTTAGCTCAGGGCCTCAAGGATGTAGGCCAAACTATCCTTAAGGCTCCATATACGGAAAAAAAATTTACATATACATATGTATATGTCCATTTCCATTTCCAAGCATTCAGAGGAGTTCGCTGCCTAAAAAACTTGCAAACGAAACCACTGACTGCCAGTATGCACTAGCTGACGTTTGACACAAGCTGAGCCAAAATCTGGCATATCAGGGTTTAAGCAGTGAAGGGGAACCGCTGTAGACCCGGCCAGCTGCACAGCAGCTAAGTAAACAACCGTAAGCGATTACGCCACATCCTGCCACAAAACCAAACTAACTACTTCGCTCAGCGTAGTCATTGTGACTCCGCGCTGCTTCGTAAGCGACGGAAAAAGGGGAAACGCACATACCATAGTGTTACCCCTCTGGCAGCATGCAGGCTAGGGTGCCGTGGCGACTGGCTTCCACAGCACAAGACTCTACACTGCCTATATTTAAACTCGGAAAGAGAGATGATTTGTGTTCCGTTTATCGGCGATCAAAGCACCACCCAAACTACAAAACCCAACCTCGTCTGGTCTCGCACAATGACTGCGTGCATGCGAGATGAGGGAAAAAGAAACCCGCACCATAACTGCGAAAGTGCGAGTGTGTAACACCAACTAGCAATGCGGCAATTTCAGCTCCACACTGCTGTATCAATCTTGTCTGGGAACAGCGCTCACTTAACATTGTTGCCTTGCGATACCTAGTCCAACGCACTTGCGTCGTTGATCCACGGCCTTCCCATCACTGCAAGGGCCGGCTTCACATGGCCGCATTGCAGGGGTTGCCAGGTTCTGCCAGATGCTGCCAGCTCCAGCAGAACAGTGAGGCCAGGGCAGAAGGGTCCTCCGGTAGTTGGGCGACCAGGCTCTCCGTAGCTCCCGCAGGGAAAGACATTGCCACTCGTCCGGCTCTTTTTCTTTGGCCACAAGCGCTCCCAGATTTGAAGATATACGTCATCACCGAAGATTTCCGCCCACATGGTTCTGCAGCACAGTGCACTGCCAGAGCATGTCATGAAGGCGAAGTTCGTGTCCCGCGAATTGCAGTCCATTTTGCCGATGTATACGATGGAGGCCTCATTGTCCTGCAGCGTAAAGGCGACGTTCTTGCCTGATGCATCGCCCTCCATCTTACCAAAGCTCGTGGGCGTACGGCGTTCCGCGGAGCGGCCATTGCATGCGGTACATGGGGCCTTCAAGATACCCGCTGCTGGGTCACTTGGGCCCTACAACTGTATATATATATATATATACACGTGTATTCATATGTATACTTGCGCCTTAAAGTATCCGTATAGGGCCTCCTTTCATGCCAAAGTATATACGATGTAGGCACATGGAGCCTTGGAGTTGAATGGCATGGAGCCTCCCTCCCTCATCCATGCCGAGAAGACGATCTCCCTTCTAATATGGCTGATGGAATAAATCCTGGGGGTCCTTTAAAGGGATCCATAAGGGTACCTTTACGTATGGTACGCCCTGGCGGCGTGTATTTTCGTTTAAGCAGCTTCAGCTCTTTATAGGTAATATACCCACATAATCTCACAGGCCAAGCTGGCGACTGATGTTGAGATTGCCGTGTCAGGTAACCATTGGGACTTATGAAACAAGTATTTCGGTCATCCATCTGTGATTTTCTGTGATGTGGCTCTGTGGTTTTCCTGTGGTTCGGCGGTGATTTGAAGATGTGCTTGTGATGTTAGCTGTGATTTGACTGTGATTTTTCTGTAATTTGGCTTCGATTTGGCTGCAGAGCCGGGTTCCCGAGTCACAGGCAAATCACGCACGAGTCACAGACAAATCATCGACAAATCACAGCCAAACCACGTACAACTCACAGCAAATCACAGACAAATCGCAGCGAAAAACAGCCAAGTCACAGACAGAATCACAGATGTTAAGCGGATCACAGAAAAATCACAGACCCAAATCACAATCAAATCACAGGAACATCACAAGATTTGTTTCTCGAATCCTAGTGCTTACCAGGCATTGGCAGTTTCAAGACTAATGCAAGATCGAGCAACGGCATGCAGGTTCTTGCACCGACGAGGGAGCTCGCCAAGCAGATCCACGCGGCCGGGCACCCTTTCTTGCTTCCAGGATACATGTCGGCACCGTTGCTAGAAAGCCCACAGGCACCGGAGGATGCCTCATTGAAAGCTGAGTTCGTAAGCAACCTCCCACGAGGTCCCAGGTCCTGAGGCTTGCATAATCTTGCAGCAGCCGCAGGCGCAGGGTGAGTCGTGACTGCAGAAACCCTGGGGAGTGCTGGATACAAACGACGGAGACACCCCTTCCTCCAAGACCAACAGCACCCCGTATATTGCAGCACGACAGCGGCTGTTAATGTCGATTTTCCGCTTATTCTGTCCGACGCTATCAGGTGTGCCAGAAGTATGGTTCGCTGGTGCCCTAGAGATGAAGTGGGATTCAAAAGCAAGCTCAGGTCTGAGGCAGCAGTGCTATGTCCTTGAACCCGACATTGGCGGAATCACAAACATTGGAGGAACCATAGTAACTGTTGCGAGCCGTACATTGGAAAGCAAGATGGTTGATGAGCTGTGTCGTGTTGCTACTGGTATCGAGGTCGAAGCGACTAGCCTCGGCCACCATTGTGGGTGGCATGAGGACAAGTGAGCACAAGCAGCTCCTTCAGGCGAGTTCCTATTGTCAGGGATTTACCTTCATCAAACCTGTTGCTGTATCAATCAAGATATTGGTGCTGGTGGGGCACTCTGTGGCACGGCTTTTTCAGAGGCTGCGCTGGTTTAGGACTGTTTTTACAGCAGAAAGAGCACTTCCCGATCCATCGACACTCGAAGCAAGGCCAGGAACGAAATCGTCGTTGCCACTCCCGGTCGATTCCTTCAGGCCTGGAGAGCGGCGCGCCACCGTCCGTGCTTTCCATGAAAAACCCTAGATGTGCGGTTTTGTCTTCAGGCGCTCGGCGATGAATGGACGAAGCTGAATCGCTGCACGCCTGGGGACTCGGGCCACGCAGACCAGTTGTGCACAGGCTGGACAGTGCTGGAAGTGCTGCATGTCACACAAGACACAGTTAGGAAAGATCTTCTGGTAATCATCTTTGCCTTGTATGGCCGGTATGAAGTTGTAGATCTTGATGTTCTCAGTTTCGTTGCCCTGGACGAAGCGGACGAGCTCCTTGGAGAGAACTTCGGGGGTGACGTCAGGCACGAGCTTTGCGGTTGCTTGACAAGCAGTGATGTTAGAGCGTCTGCCGTGACTGCTGTTTGCATGGCTGCAGCCACGACACGCTGTGCACGATGGGTTGACCTGAGTACCAATGGACATGTGACGTGTGAATGGCTTGACAAGCCCCGTCGCCAGGTCGGAGCCTTGGACGGGTGCCATCCTGCAACCGGTCAGTGCAGATTGCCAGGGATCACTACTCCTGGAGAATGCCTTGCGGACCCCCTGTACGGGGGCTCCCGGAAGGCAATAAAATGCCTTTTCACCCCCTGAAATGCCTTGCGAACCCCCCCAATGCCTTGCGCCCCCACCCTTTCGGATGCCCCAGGAAAGCTTGTTTTATTTCCGATGCTCGCTTGGAGGCTAAGAGCACATTCGGGCTGGTCTAAGGAATCCGTGGTCTCCGGGGTGCATGTTCTCATGCCAAAGGGAACTGCGAGCTTCGTCTGGACTATCATGAGACAGGTGAGCTTTGTGTGAAACTTTGCGTGCATAAAATCCCCGATTCGTATCAGTCACTGTGTACTGTTAAAGGCTTCAGAGCCTGCATCGGGGATTTTAGTTTGGCACCTGACCGTCGGAGCACAGGGCCGGTACCGCGTCCCCGCTGGGCAGGGCGGTTGGGATTGGTGCCGAAAATGCCTTGAAGCAACCCCCCCATCTCAGGCCGAAAACCGGGGGTTGCTTTGCGGGAAGGGGGAGGCTTGGAAGGGAAGAGAGCGCGCACTGAGACATGTACCTATTCAGGCATGTGCCTTATCCAGGGACCTAGGTGGGGGGGTGGGGGAAGGCATTCCAATCCTACCCAATAATGCCTTGGGGCGGGGGGGGGGCAGAAATGCCTTTCGAAGTAGTGATTGCCAGGGTCAGTGGACTTGAACTCTTGGCCGACACAGCACGCCGCAATCTGATGAAGCAGGAGGACGTGAAGTGAGACTGCAAGGTCAGAGGTAAAAGTAAAGAATACTTCCACATCAGTAGATACCTGCTGCTCATCTACGAAGCTTGCCCTGGTCAGGTGCGCAAAGAGCGGCAAGTTCTGATGGTCAGTGCTACCTGGCCAGAGGCCCTCCGGACATGATCGGTGTGTGCGATGAGAAAGCTTACGGTCAGCACAAGACTAAGACTGTGTTTTTTTTCGGAATTCGGGAGGCAGTGAAGGAGCTTGCCCATGAGCACCTCGCCCGCAGAAGCTTCGAGTCGGGTTTGGTTTCTGGCTCCAGAGGTGCATGAGGCCTGCTTTTCGTACATGCTGTCTCGCTGCAACTACTTGTGCGAGTTCGCTGTGGCGATGGTGAATGCATTGATCAAGGGTTTGCACCGCATCAGATGGCCGACCACCCGCAGCAAGCTCGGTGTTCAAGTCCAAGTCTAGCCGAGGCTTTAATTGACTGAACTCTGGCTGCGCTGTACTCGTGGACACTTAAATGGTCTTTAACATTCCTTCGAAGCTGTTGTTCAGTGTTCCCGGCCTCGCAGGTCCATATCCGCATCGGCGGGACGAGGTTAGCAGCATGCAGCTTGACTGCAAAGTCTGTGCTCGATGATGAAGCGCACGCTGACTTGGATCTCCGTGGAGCTCATCCTGACAACGATTCCAGGCAAAACCATCGTCCAGAGGGCTGAGATCGTCGATGACGAGGACGCTGCGGGCTCAGACTCTGCTTGGCCTGAATGGAGCTCCAGGCATCGCAGCTTTGCCGGAACATGGAGGTAACAGCTTGAGAACGCCTTTGTGTGAACTTTTTCCATGCTTTTCCCGCTGAGGAAAGGTATTATTCCAAGCTGAAAGTGAGGCTGCAACAGTGCGGGCCCTGGCAAAAAGGCGGCAGAGCTGGGAAGCTGACCGGACCAATCCCCTCCAGGCCTCGAGGGTCGTGTTGGTGGTGGTGTGGAACCCAGGTGGCTCTGAAAACTGTAACCCAGATAACACAATCGCACTCCAATCTCACGGCACGCACCCTCACAGCGCGTTCCGGCTTTTCACCTGCAGTTCCATCAGCGTGCCATCTGACATCAAGGGGCCCCTGCGTTTGAGCACACACGCAGCGGGCACCGCACAGATGCTTTCAGGAAGAGCTGTACACTCCAGTCAGGGTTTGCAATCGCAGGTGGGGTCATGAGATGTACGAAGCCAGTGACAGCTGGTATGGCAGCCAAGAGCAGATTCTGAAGCTTCAGGGCGGCCATTTTCCACGAAGGCTCGCTGGACAAGTGCTTCATCTTCTGCAGGTGAGGGCGGTGAGGGTGTGTGTGTGTGTGCTGGCGGCTGAATTTCAAAGTACCGCTTGTGTGATCGAGTGCAGTCGAAGCATTATGAACATAACACCCAAGCATCCATTGTTTCAGTGCATGCTGCGTTCATTGACGTTAAGATGCACAAAGTGCTTAGATCGACAGGAGCCGCAAGGCTGTCATCAAGCTCAAAGACATGCTTTGCAGAGAAGAGATGGTCTGGAGGCAGAGCTTCTGCCTCGCCACTCGGCAGAACAGCCTTAATGAAAGCTTCAAGCTAAACCACCTTCTACATTGTGCATGGAACAGCATGAACATTCTCGATGCCAATGAACAGGTCCGAGAGTTGCACAGCGACGTGCAGCAGTGCGACCGTGATTGGGCAGAGGTCTCAGAAGTGAATCATGATGTTTTCCTAGCGAAGCTGCGAAGTCAACCAGGCTCTCATGGAGCGCTTTTGGTTTTATCTGTTTCGCTGGAGCCTCTATACGGATGCAGCGTAGGAAACGACCAGCCATGGGGCGCTTTCAAGTCATTGATTGAACAGCGTTGGCATTGCTCGATGATAGTGCAACAGTGCGCTGCTGCCCAGACCATTCAACAGTTCCGCGACGGACCGCTGTCAGGAGCTGAGGTTTAGAACATGAGAATTTGAGACCGTGTTCGCTCCACCTTTTGTTTT